TACCTCATTTTTACAGCTAGCAACTTTGGTTGGGTCAGGAATAGCATTTTTCTATTGTTGGAGGTTTGAGAAATTGTGGATGAGTCTGAAAAGAAAGAGAATAGACTCTCATTTATCTCCAATAATGAAGACATTTTGCCAACAAGGAGGATTTTTAAGGGATTAGAGAATCAGAAACAAAAATTTTAGCATTACAACTCACTTTGTACCAGCACATGCTTATCTTTTAGATGAGATGTAAATAACTATTGTATGATATGGATGGTCTAAAATTTAATTTTTTTTTCTATGTGATAATTTAGAATTATAAAATTAGTATTTGAACTTTATTCCACGCCAAGATTGGAATTTTTTTTTTTTGCCAAGTGTTTAGTTTTACATTTTTGGATTGTCACAATTAATTAATAATTTAGATAACCGATGTGAAAAATATAAAAGTCTCTATTGAGACCGGTGAGTAATAAATAGAGTAAAAAGTATATATGTTCTTAGTATATATGTACCTGCATTGATTCAATGAATGGAAAATCAAACTTAGCTTTACGTACCCCAATGGAAAAAAAAAAAAAAAAACCTTCAACTATTCCTTACCGCGATGAGATTAACTAGAAAATGGAAAATGACTCACACTTACCACATGCTGGTGAAAATACAATTAGCGCTACTATTTCAAATCCCATCACTTATCAATAATTTTTTATTTACAATTTCATAAAATAATAAGAGGTGGAATTTTTTATATGAAATGTCACTGGTTATTGTTATTGAACAATAAAGTAGCATTTAAAAAAAAACACCACCTAATAATTATAATTTAAATAATAAAAATAATAATTATATATCTAAATATTACTAACTATAAAATTAATAATAATTATATATCTAAAAATTGTAGACTTTCATGTGGCTATTCTTCATATCTATAAAAATAATTTAAAATAAGATAGTTCAAGTGGCATTTTCCAAGATAGAAACGCCAGATGAGAGTTCACAATGCGTAAAATTAATTTAAAACAAAATACCTCAAGTGGCATTTCCAAGCACAGGAAACGCCACCTAGATTTTCATAATGTGTAAAAGTAATTTAAAATAAAATATCTCGGGTGGCGGTCCTCAATAGATTCTATTATTATACTCCTTCCGTTTTAAATTATAAAGTACTTTAGATAAAATCTCACATATCAATAAATCTCATGAAATATATTTAACAATCTTATCTTTTCAAAATAAATTTATAAACTTTAAAAAATACCCATCATTTAATATATTAAAAAAAGGGACAAAAATTAATAATAAAGAGAGAAAGGGTAATATTAGAATTGATACATTTAATAAAACTTTAATCTATCTAAAGTATCTTATATTTTGGGATGAAAAAACTCCTTTAAAAGTGCCCTATAATTTGAAACGGAGGGAGTATTAATTAAATAACTAACTTATTTAATTTGTTCTTATTATTATAATAAAATGGCTTTTAATCAAATATATGTAATTTTTAAAAATAAGCATATATTATTAGAATAACAATTACTTAGATAATAATTAGTATTATTATTAATATGCTACTATAATTATTTACTTAGTATTAATTATTAAATTATATTATTATCTAAGAATTAAAAAGTTGAGAGGCGGCATTTCATCCCTACAGAAACGCCACTTTAAGCTTATATTAAAAGGTTAATGAGTATCTTACACCTTAAACTGTTGCACGAATAGTATCTTGAATCCTAAACTCTTGAAATGTGCAAAAGTTTTCCTTAATTTCTAAATTTTATTGCCTAAAATACCACCGTTGAGTTGAAGAAAATGACCATTATTTTTGTAGTTGTGAAACCCAATCACACGTTAATATGACACTCATCTTGACTCTTAAAAAATCTCTAACTTAGTGATGGGGTTTCAAGTGTTTAAAATTTAGAAGTTGAAGGGATTTTTAGCACAATTTAGAAGTTCAGGGTTCAGGATGCTATTTTCACAATAGTTTAGGCTTTAGGATGATCATTAACTCTATATTAAATTATATTAATTATATCTAAATTAATTACAATAGTATTAATTACCATTAAATTATATTAAATTTAAATGAGCTTTTAAAAATAAATAAATATAATATCAATTGGTTCTTATTTTGCGTTTATTTTATATAAAACAAAATAAATTAATTATTCAATATTAATATAAAAATAATTAAGATATCATTATTTAATTTTATTATTGTTAATTTTATTATAATTATTTAATTATTAAATTATATAATTATTTACCAATTAAAAGCCGACGCTAAAACACCTCCTCTCAGCTTATATTAAATTAATATTAATCATATTTGATGGACAATATCAATTAAATTGATATTAATAAATCTTAAATTATATTAAGCTTAACTGATTTGTTTTTAGAAAACAATTATAAATAATTTTAATTACTTCTTATTTCTAATTTATTTAATATAAATAAAAATTAATTAAATATTTATTATTATTAATATAAGAATAATTTAACATATTTTTATTTAATTATTTATAATTAATTTTATATTAATTATTAAATTATATTATTAATTAAGAAAGAAAAGACGAGGAAACCCTACTCCCACCTTATATTAAATTAATATTAATTACTTTTAAATTATATTAAAATTAGTAGAGTCTTTTTAAAGAATATATGTCTAATATTAAGTACTCCTTATTTTTAATTTATTTTATACAAGTAAAAATTAATTAATTATTAAATAGTATTACTATAAAACTATATTAGTATTATTATTAATTTTATTATAATTATTTCATTCATATTGATTAATAAATTTTATTATTATCTCATTCATATTCGTATTTCCTCAGCTTATATTAAATTAATGTTAATTATATAAAATATATAATATTAGTTCAAGTAATATTAATTACTTTCGAATTATATTAAAGTTAACTCAGTTTTTTTAAATATATAATATTAACTCAGTTGCAATTTATACAATATGGCTACCAATAACATGTTTGCTCCATAATTGTCATCATAAACTTATATCGTATACCATCAGGTCTAACAATGATGATATAACATGTTGTAAAACAGCTTCATGGAGAATGAACAAACTGAAAATCAACGATATATCTGAAATCAAGGTTATTTTCTGCATTTCAACAACAAAGTCTGTTGTTAAACGTATTATGCTAACCACATAAAAGAAATTTTTTTTTTTGGTCTGTTAGTAGGAAATCTCTAATATTGGTTAAACAAATATGATCATCTCAGTATTGTAAAAACAAATTGAAATATTTAAAAGATGGAGGTGAAGAAGAGGAGACATGGAATAAAAGAAGAGAGTTGTGGCCATTGAGAAGACAAGGGGTTAATCATGTTCATAAGCACGAGGGCTCCACATTAATGAAAGTTGAAGAAGCTGATGAGTGCATAAAGTAACCCTAATTATATGCTACTAACAAGATTTCCCAATCACACTCCTCGCTGGTCACTGTTGACAAAACTAACATTAAAGGAAAGTGAAGTTACTAGGAACAATGTAGGAGGTAGTAGCACTCAGGTTTTAATTTTGAGATCACTTTTATTGTCTCAATCTTGCCAAAGGACTCGACCCCTCTTGGGTCTAACACTCTCTCTTGACAATGATAACCTTTGTGTCTCCATTTTTAACTCAACCCCCTCACTATTATTCTCCAATCGCACTCCCTTAACCTAAAATCTAACACCAGTGATAATACTATCGTCCTCACATATAAATATTTTCATTGTCACTTTGTGGAGTTCTAAATGGCGAAGATCCAAATAATTGAGAAAACACACTGGCCCTGAACTTTTCCCATTGATTGTTTCTTCCATGTTTATCTACTTTGGCCCACTCCATTCTAGTTGTAAATGAACAAGCTTGACTGGGGCTATCACGCCCCAAAAATAAGACATGATCGGCATGAAATATGTGTACAAAACCCATATTCCTTTAGCCTTGGACATAGATTATTATAAAATAAAACATAATGTCTTTAATATTTTTCCATATAAGCCAAGCATTAAATTTCTTGTGAAGAAAAATTTCAACATATGCTCTTCTATGATTAAGGCTTCTCAAAATTTTTCAACAACAAAGAACGGCAATAATTCAACAAAGGAAACTCTGCTCCTCACCAACAAATATACAATCTTATAGGAAATATGGTTCTTGCCATAGTCTACGTGGAGCATTTAGGACTAGGCTACAAAATAATACACAAGTCTAAATTTACATCGAGTTGAGATTTTTCCTGAAAGAATTCTTGCATCTTCTTTCAGCGATAAATCCCCTCAATGAAGACCTTGAGATATAAATTGAGCTATATCATCTGAGACCAAAAACATCTTTTCTAGTGAATAACGTCCCAAAAATAAAATTTAAAAAAATAAAATAAAGAATTATAAATAGAGATAAAATAAAGATAAAATTTCTTATATTTATAAAATAAAGATAAAATTTCAGAACTTTACTCAATGTTTAATCGCATTTGGGATATTCTAAATTTCACTAACATCTATTAAAAATAATATTTATCTTAACTCTACATATACTTCGTTGCTGCATGTACGCCTGTCATTAATCATCCATAGTTGTCATGTCATTTATCCTTTTAACTTCTCACAATATGGCTTCCAATCACAATACAATTTGCAATTTATACTATATATAATCATATTCTCTTTTTTTTCTTTTCTTTTCTTTTTTTAATAAAACTCAAGCCTTTCATCAATTAGCATACTTGACATTTATCTAATCCAGTAGCTTCTTTAATGTTGCATTTGGATGGATGGGTTTAAATTGAGAATTTGGATTTAAAATCTCATATTTGAAATCTCTCATTTGAAATTCATAAATTTTAAATTCTTTATTTGGATGATATAAAAAAATTCAAATTACAATATTAAAATCTTTTGTTTAGATCTAAAGTAAAATTTCAAATATTAAAGTATATATTTAAATTTAAAATAAACTTGGAAGACTAGTCAAAGTCAATGATCCGAATGGCCAACTTCCACCGGAATCAGACAATCAAAGCCGATTAGGATTGTAGCACTAGTGACGAATGAGATGGGATGCCCGATTTCCCTTGGAAATAAATGTCCTACTTCCACTAGAACCAGACCGATGGAGACTATGGGGACTGGACAACTGACTTCTACCAATCCTTATCGTCGTCGTTGGTCCGGTCCTAATAGAAGTCGGCCATCCGGTCACCATCGTCACCCTCAATTGGGTCCCAGTGAAAATTGGTTGTCTTGTCCCAGTCAATGGTGGCAGCTTGTTTCTGTCAACTTTGGCAGTTCAGTCCAATTACTGTTGGCAAGTCAATCAAGCTTTCGTGAATTTGGGTCAAATTAAAAAAGAGATTACGTTAAGATTTGAAATAATATGGATTTCAAAAGGATTTCAAATCACAAAAAAAATTGAGGTAGAACTTGGATTTAGATTTAGATTTGGGTTTAGGGTTCCCAAATCCATACATTTTTAATTACCCAAACAATGAATTTGGCTCAAATCCAAATCCATGTATATCCAAACATAGTATAAAATCCTTTCCTCTACTATAAAGAGTTATTTAACTCCCCTCCCAACTTAAACACACTTACAGCTGCACAAAAGAGAATAAAGAAAATTTGACAATCTCATTGACTTAAACACACACAAATCCTACACTGAAGAGGAGGATTCAAAACTCCTCACACTAAACCAATCACAATAGAGTAAGGAGAAAATGAACATGATGATACATAATATGAAGGGGAGGAAAAAGGGAAGACATCATGAAGCGCGGAACAAAGAGAAGGGTCTCAAGCTCCCTCAAGCTAGATTAGCAACGACTATCCAAAGAGGAGAAGTGGTTTTGACGATGCAGAGTAGGCTGAACAAGGTGACAGCAAGGCAGGAAGAGAAGGAAATCACAATTCAGAGCTCCAGTCATGGCAAATCACAGCGAACACATGCACTAGTGCCAGCAAATAGGATAGCAGAGGGAGGAAGATGACAGAAGACAAAGGGATCAAATCTTCTAGATTCTCCTAACCTTGTTGCTCTCTTCCCCCCAAAACCCCCAAAAAAACACTAATTGAATTGAAAAGGGGAAAAATATTCTGATGGTGTTGGGGGCAACAAAGAAAATAAAGATGCATTTCAGAAGAAATCGAACACTGGACCTTAAGATACAAATTAACAATAATTACTATTGAGCTATCAATCCACCTTATCAATCAATGCAAAATAACAAAATGCACATAAAAATATCTAATTATAAATTTTAATTTACTTTGATTTTAGAGTCATTAAACCACTAGACCACCAATGCCTCTTGTTAAATTTATTCCAAAATTTAAAAAATAAATTCAAAATATGTTATTAATTAAATAATATTTTTATTTTTTAATTTTTAAGGTCATTATAAGGACAATTGAAAAATGGATTTGATCCAAATTTACACAGCCTTCAACATCTAAAAGTTCAATATTTGGGGCTTGAGATAGATTTGGAAATGCCTCGAGACATCTCGAGTGCTTTATATCGATCAGCTTTAAATTTGAAAAATGCTGAAAAAATGTTAGAAAATTAGATAACTAAATAATTTTATCATGAATTCCTCCCATGATAGTTTAAAATTTGAGATAATTATATATGGATTTAGATAATTAATTATACTATTTAACCATCTACACAAAGACAGTGAAGCAAAGATGTACATTATAAAATTCTTTGGTCACTTTTTGAGGCTTGATATATATACCTAAAATTGAAGAGGTTGGTAGAACCACATAAAAAGCTTATATGTAAATATAGGAAAATGACACATGATCTCCATTCCAAAATTGTTGGATATGACTGTTAGCTAGGCATTTCAAATAACTAAGTCATTTAATCATGACGTTAATTCTCTCGTCATAAAGAAAAATGAGATTTTGTAAGGGAAATTAGTTAGAAAAAGTATTATAATCTTAAAATTATTTGAATATGATAAAGAAAACATTCATGCAATTTGAATTTGTTGAATATTTGATGCGTGAGATATCTAAATGTTTGATGAGGTTCTTAAAATCACAAAACACAATGCTATTAATTTGTAGAAAAAAATTGATAATACATACTTGACCTCCATCCCAAAGTTGTTCTAGATGATTGCTAGGCATTAGAAGTTGTACAAGATTGTCAGCACAGAATTTTAATGGCACATATGATAGAGGACATTCTTGCCAACTTAAAAACCTTAGTTCCTTCAAAAGATAATCCATATTTTCACCAATATTCATCTCTAGAGGCTTCTTCCTATTAGACTTGTAAATATTAAGGCATATTAAAGTATACATCTTTTGTAATTTGATAGCCCTCAATGTCCTCTCTTCTATCTTGCTCATGTCCAATGACATGCATTGAATGCCCACATTCCCCTTTAAAAAAACTAATAGGGAAAAACACACAATTATTGCATAAATCAAATATACTTGCCTTTTAAATTATATCCAAATCAATAATGCTATTGTATCATTTACTTAAACATTCTTTCATCAATTCATGTTTTCTTGATAATAAATGAATTCCCAAATCAAAACATAACAACAAAATAGAAGACATGAAAATCTACTCATTTTTATCTAGTTCATGTCTGATGATAAGCATTGAATTGCCTCAGGACCCTAGTGATCAAATCATGTAGGGAAATGATTAATATGTAAAAAGTATTTAGATCAAATAACTATTATGACAACTAATTAAATATATTACTTTTGGATAAATCTAAATAAATCCTCATTTAATTTGTTTTGTTTATGTGATTTAATTAAAAAATCTAAGACATACAAAATTGAGTAACTTCAAGATTCAAGATAAGAATATTAAGACCAGAGATTTAAATTAAATGAATATGTACATAACTTAAGGCAAATACCGAAACATGTCAAGGAAATAAAAAAAAATCTAAGAGCGTAAAGAAAGATAAAAGAATAAATTATTACCTTGTGATGGTCGAAAAAATAACAAATATCATCATCCCTCCACAGTCTAGTTGGTATTCTATTTAGAAATTATTCCCCAAAAATTTCAAGACCCATTATCATGATGAGATTATGCATCTCAATACAACTACATCTATCAACTAAAATGAGGGACCTATCTTCAAGAACACTAACTAAAAGCTATGTAGAAAAGCCATATAAACATCTGATACAATCGAGAGATATCCTCATTCCCTCACTTAACAAAAATGTGAGGTCAAGAAATAGTTCCTTTTGGTCATGCTTTAGTCTATCAAAATTTAATTTCAATGAATTGAAAATATCAATGTCATGATTTTAACTTAGCATTTCAAAAGCAACTTCCCATTCTTCTCTTCCAGAACCAAAAATAATAATAATGTAAGCTTTTTAGAGCTAAGGGATTTCCTTGACAAACATCCACTACATGTTTTGATAACTCTAAATAGCTTTTTGATGGCTCATTTTGCTTGAAAGCTTTAAAGCAAATAGTTTAAGAGCATCATGGGAATCTAATTATAGAACTTGATATATTTTAAGAACAGTAGACTTAAGCACATGCTCGTCTCTTTATGTGATCATAATTCTACTACCTACCCTAATCGATTACTCACTTTGATCAAATTATCAATTTTGAACTAGTTGTCCACGCATCATCAAGTATCATAAGAACTTTTCTATGTTGGATCGTGTTGATATGCTTATATTTTAGTTGTTCTCTAGCAATATCAACAAAGCAAAAAGCTTCAAATTTTTATTCCAAATGGAGAGACACAACTTCGGCAAGAGCAATCTTTTCCACACCACCCATACCCCATATTTCAACAATGGGGCCTTATTCAGAAGTTTTTCTATATTCTTAATATGATGAGCAATGCCAACAAGTCCTTTAGAAACACCCAACGAGTCATATTCATTATTAGCAAGAGAAGAGATTGTTGAAGTTGAAATAACAGAATCTTTAGTAACTGAAGTTGTGTCTCTTCATTTGGAAGAAAAATCTGAAGCTTTTTGCTTTGTTGATATTGCTAGAGAAAAACTAAAATATAAGCATATCAACATGCTCTAGTAAAAAAAAGTTCTTATGATACTTGCTACATGGACAACTAGTTCAAAATTAATAATTTGATTAAAGTAAGTAATCGATTAGGGGTAGGTAGTAGAATTATGATCACATCATGAGACAAGCATGTGCTTAAGTCTGTTAGTGCTAAAATATATCAAGTTTCAAAATTGGATTCCCAAGATGCTCTTAAACTCTTTGCTTTAAAAGCTTTCAAGTAAAATAAGCCATCAAAAAGCTATTTAGAGTTATCAAAATGTGTAGTGGATTTCTGTCAAGGAAATCCTTTAGCTCTAAAAAGCTTGGGTTATTATTTCTTTGGTTATGGAAGAGAAGAGTGGGCAACTGCTTTTGAAATGCTAAGTCAAAACTTGACATTCATATTTTCAATCTGTTGAAATTAAGTTTTCATGGAGTAAACCATATCCAAAAGGAACTATTTCTTGACCTCACATTTTTTGTTGAATGAGGGAAGGAGGATATCTCTGGATTGTATCAGATGCTTATATGGATCTTCTACACAGCTTTTGTTGGTGTTCTTGAAGATAGATCCCTCATTTCAGTTGATAGATGTGGTTGTATTGAGATGCATAATCTCATCATGATAATGGGCTTGAAATTTCTAGAGAACAATTTCTAGATAGAATACTAGCTCGATTGTGGAGGAAAGAGGATATTTGTTATTTTTTGTACCATCACAAGGTAATAATTTATTCTTTTATCTTTCTTTATGCTCTTAGATTTTTTTTTTTTATTTCCTTGACATGTTTCAGTATTTGCCTTAAGTTATGTACATATTCATTTACTTTAAATCTCTGGTCTTAATATTCTTATCTTGAATCTTGAAGTTACTTAATTTTGTATGTCTTAAATTTTTAATTAGATTACATAAACAAAAAAATTAAATGAGCATTCATTTATATTTTACCAAAAGTAAGATATTTAATTAGTTGTTCTAATAGTTATCTGATCATTTTTACATATTAATCATTTCCCTGCATGATTTGCTCACTAAGGTCCTGAGGCAATTCAATGCTCATCATTAGACATGAACTAGATAAAAATGATTAGATTTTCATGTCTTCTATTTTATCTCTATGTTTTGATTTTCTTAATTAGATTTACTTATATAATAAAACCTTTTTGGATTTAAGTAACTAATGCAAGATTGTGCAATTTAGGAATTCATTTATTATCAAGAAAGCATGAATTAATGAAAGAATGTTTAAATAAATGGTACAATAGCATTATTGATTTGG